GAAGGAAGGAAGGAAGGAAGGAAGGAAGGAAGGAAGGAAGGAAGGAAGGAAAGAAGGGAGGGAGGGAGGGAGGGAGGGAGGGAGGGAGGGAGGAAGGAAGGAAGGAAGACCAAAAAGCAAAAAATAAAAGGTAAAATATCAAAATACTCAATCAGTGAGACCTTAACTGCTTAGAGGCTGAAACAGTGATTTGTGACGCTTTCTGCCCTAAATAAAGCCTAACTCCCAAGACCTCTGGCACCTCATTCAAAATGACCAGCCTTGAGAAAGACAAATGAAGTTATAAAAATTACTATAATAAAAAAGGGAGAATCCCTTCCTGTAGGATCCTTCTCTTTAATGATCCCTTACTACAAGGATCCCTCCCTGTAAGGATCTCTTCCTACAAGGATCCCTTTCTACAAAAATCCCTTCCTATAAGAATCCCTTCCCTACAAAGATCCCTTCCTATAAGAATCCTTTCCTATAAGGATCCCTTGCTATAAGGAATGATTCTTTCTCTGAGAATTTGTTCTCTGAGCATCTGTTCACAGTGTTTATTCTTTATTTTAAAAAAAAAAACTTTATGTCAATTCTGAGCAGAAAATACTTTTCCCTCTGTTCTCGTGGCTCTTACTTCCCAGCATGACAGAAGAGGAAAGAGAGAAAAAGAAGACTGAGTGGGACCACAAAGTTGGTCTCACCGTCCAATGAGTCATAGCTCAGTCTGAGAAACTCTGACTGGGGACTAGCAGCCTAGTTTAGATGCGCCAGAAAGGAATACTGTGGGTGATTAAAAATACAGGCATTAGGAACAAGCTGCAAATTCAAGCCCTCTTATCTCACTTACTATGTGTGAGATTTGGGCAAGGGATTTATTCTTTCTTTGCCTCACTTTCTTTGTCTGAAAAATGGGATGACAGCAGCAACTCTCTCCCACAGTTGGTGCAAAGATTGAATAAGGTCAAAAACATGTGAAAGTCTAGAATATAGGCATCTAATAGGTGTTGTCTAAAAGTATGAACTAAGAACAACATCATCACCACCATCACCACCATCACCACCACCATCTTCATCACCACCATCACCACCACCATCACCATTATCATCACCACCGTCATCATCACCATCACCATTATCACCACCACCATCTTCATCACCACCATCATCATCACCACCATCACCACCACCACTGTCATCACCACCATCACCATCACCACTGTCATCACCACCATCACCACCACCATCTTCATCACCACCATCATCATCACCACCATCACCACTGTCATCACCACCATCACCACCACCATCATCATCACCACCATCACCACCACCATCTTTATCACCACCATCACCACTATCACCACCATCACCACCATCACCACTATCACTTTCACTACCTCTATTACCACTACCATCATCACCATCTCCATCATCACCACCACTACTATCATCATCACCATCATCACGTTCACCACCACTACCATCACCACCATCTCCATCATCACCAGCACCTTTGACCCTCCGGTTATTCTACCCTAAGTTGAAGCTCACTTATAACAGCACTGCCAACAGACTATTAAGGCAACACTGAAAAGTTTATTTGCAAAGCTGAACAAAACCACACAGGGTAGAAGGCAAGGTGTGGAGATGCACTGGGATCTGGTTCCTAAGACTCCATCCCATTCCTATTTTCAGAAGATGGTCAGTGTCCTAGAGAACATGGCCCTCTACTTTCTTCTAATGGACAGTACCTTTCCTCACTGGTATTCTGTGATCCGTCTGGAATCTCAAGTCCTTGTGAGGGTTTCTGCTATGTCTGAATGCTGCTGTCCCCAATAAATGATCAAAGTCAAATATTAAAACTTCATATCCAAATAAATGATATCAAACAATGGAGTCTTTAGGAGAGCATTGGGTCAGGGTCTCTCCCCTCATGAATGGGATGAACGTCCTTATAGAAGAAGCTGCATGGAGCCCTTTCACTCCTTCGCCACAAGAGGACACAGCAAGGAGGCACCATGTATTTTCTCAGCAGAAAGTAGTAACCTTTCACCAGCCACAGTAATGTCCACCTTCCCACCTCAAGAACTGTATGCAGTAAGTTTCTGCTGTTTACACATTGCCCTGCCTAAGGTATTTTGCTAGAGCAGCCTGTACGGACTAAGATTTCTCTTCTTACAGTGAATCCTTGGGACTATAGTAGGATGTCCATCGGTAGCTAGGAAAGGCGCAGTGTCTTTTCTCATCATTTCAGTGCCTCCATCACTAAGGAACAGCCCACAAAACGGGTTTAGAAGGAGAGAGAAAAGAAAACCTCTAAAAATCCCAATGTCTAACTTGAACTAACCCTCCCTCAGTGCATTGGATACTTAGATGGAAAAAAATGAAGACATCTGCCATCAGATTGGGGGGAACCCAAATTTCTAGAACATTCTACCCATTTGCAAAGAGCAGATTCAGGAAATAAAGAGCTGGAGACTTGAAGTAAATGTTTCATTGGTCATGATGATCAAAAGATGACAATTAACACACACACACAGACCTTATACCACCCACTGAAGGGCAGGTCTCACTCCATCCAGATGGGCTTGTCCTGCTGGCCCTGCAGCCATTACCCCACCAGGACTCTGCCCTTCACTCTGAACTTCTGCCTCGGTTCTCATCTTCTCTCCACTCAGAACCTGGAGGCCGGTGTCCAGGCAGAGCCATGAAAAGCGGGGGCCTTGGCCCAAGTCTTCAGTCAGTGGACAGTGTCACAATGTCCATGGGCTCATCTCTACCTCCTTTTCAACACTCTCTCCTTCTGTCCCCTCTCCCACCCCGTCATTGTTCCCCAGAAACAAATAGGATGGCTTCACTGGTCAATCTTTACATATACAAACACCAAAAGCAGAGGAAACGCCCCTTGGCCACCCCCCCTCCCCCCAAACCCCAGTGCTGGGAGAGCAGCCAGCAGTCAAGGCTGCTGGAACCAGGTTGCTGTGGGAGCCGTCCGGCTGTCCTGGAAGCTTCCTTGGCCTCTGGGCTTTACCTTGAGGCCTCTTCCTTCAGCTCCTTGTTCTTCCGCACCTCCTCTGCGTGCTTGTCCTGGGAAGGAAGGGAGGGACAAGGGCAGGTCACACAAGGCTGCCAGGGGAGGTCAGAGGGCAAGAGAACGGAAAGCAAAGGTTGGTAACCACAGGTAGAGCAGAGCTGTCGGCGAAGCCATCCTGAGAAGGGTGGAAGGAGGCAAGTAAGATGCAAGACAAAGGTGTGTACGCCTACAAGTACACAGAGCCATGGACCAGTGAGTCCCCATATCCTGTAAGACTCCAAAACACCGTAGACTCTCTCTACCTCCACTGGTCATTCTGGCACTTGGAATGGCCACTTGACTTGACTAAATATAAGGAGCCACTTGAAACAGCCAGTTTGGGGGGAATGGGAAAAGAATCAGCCCGTGACCAGCATCCCTGACACATCACAGATGCATTATTCCTCTCGCCTCTCTTTGGCGTTGTCTTAGACTGCTAACTGAAGGTGGACTCTCGGGTTACATACTGACAGAGAACTGTTGGGAAATAGTGCTTGACTCCAGACAACAGACTGCCTTACATGTGTTGGGAGACAGCTTTTATTTGTTCCATAACAAAATCTAGCCAAAAGACTAGATTTGCCCTCCCATCCCATCCCCAGCCAGCTGTGTGACCTGCAGAGTTCGGCCAAAAGACAAGATCTGCCTTCCTGTCCCCAGACAGCTGTGTGGCCTTAACTGACTGTTTTATCTAGCCAGGTGTCAAGATTTTGGATCTTTCCAGTGGGGACGAGGATGCACAGCTGGTTCCCCTCCAAAACTCTAACAAGTGTCTGTTCATGGGATCATGTCACGCCTGTCCTCCACAACGTTCCAGCTCAGTAGACAAATGTTTGGGTCCTTGCTCAACGCTCCCCCTGCCAGATCCTGGTGTTCCCACATCTGGATGGCAGAATACCATGTAATAGACCCACTAATAACATGTAATAAGGCCACTAAGGTTCCTAGGATACATCTTCACCTACAAGTTTATACCTCCAGAGGTCTTGAAAATTTCCACAGGCTGAAAGCAAGGAGCAGTAGGTCCGGCTCTCAAACTCTGATGTGTATCACGTGACCTGAAGCCCACACATTCCTCAGACCTTGCCTCTAGAGAGCCAGGTAGTAAGTCTGGGCTGGGCTTTTAATGCCTAAAAGTTCTGATCATATTGCCCACACAGAGACAGCGTTGTTGATGCTGAAGGTATCCCTGGTCCATGAACAGGGAAACCACATGCCTAGCTCTCAACCTTGTCTCCTGCCTCCTCCTGTGAGTAATTATGAGTAGGGACCAAGGTCTCAGAGGAAAGATGTCCTCTCAAATGGTTCATCTGGCTTCTTAATTCCTAGCATCTACTGGAAGCACACAGCTGTCACTCCTCAGACAGCCTTGTCTCCAGCTCCATCTCCACCTCTGCTTTCAAGGGGATTGCTAGGTTTCTGGCCTCTGCTTGTTTGGTCTCCAAAGAACCCCTTGCTGTTGCAAACTTGTGAGACAATGCTAGGATAATCTCTCTAAGAGAGGCAAGAAAGCAGCCGCTTGTAGCTGAAAAGGGGCCAAGGCCAACGCTACTGTTTGTGTGCTGTACGGATCTCCGGATCTCCGTGAATCATCTGACCTCTGGAATGGCTTCCTCATCTGAACTAAGAAAGACACCTGTCCTGTTTACCTCATAGACTTGTGATGATCATGTAACAATGAAAATGAAGGGGTTTTATAATCAAACTCTAATTAATCTAGTTTTATAACTTATTTTAGATTGGGTCTGTAAGCTTATAACTCTTCCATGCAAACTGTGGTTTCTTCAAGAATTTGTCTTGGGGCTGGGGCTATGGCTCAGTTGGTAGAGCGCCTACCTTTGCAAACACAGAGCCCTGGGTTCAACTCCCAACACTCCATAAAACAGGCTTGGTGGCACACACATGGAGTCCCTGCCCTTGGGAGGTGGAGGCAAGATCAGAATTTTGAAGCTATCCTCAGCTACCTACATAGCCAGTTTGAAGCCAGCCTTGGATACATGAGACACAGTATGGAAAAGAAAAGGCGCTGTTAGGTTTTCCCACGGTATCTCTCATTAACCGCAACAACCCTAAGTCAGACCTAGACTGTGTCCCTCCCGAAGGAAGGGAAGTCTTGCTGTCCCTTGTGGAATTGACCGGCAGAGCAAGGTGCTGCCACCTGCTGGCCAGCTCCAAAATCTGGGCAGCTCACATTCCTGGATGAAGCCAGATCTTTTCTAGTAACTGTTGCCAAGGGCCTGAGGTTCTAGGTGGGTAGGCAGGAAGGAATAAGGACCACGCTGCTCACCATGGGACGAGGCCACCGATCGGTCCCGGGAGTCACCGCGCAGCAGGCGGCTCCTGGAAATAAAACACAGAGCTAAAGCTTCCCAGGAGCTGCAGGAGAAACTGAGGCAGCCTGGGATTCAGAGAAGGAGGCCAGCATGTCTTCCAGAGAAAGACACGGAGGACCAACCCCAGTCTCTCAAACCTCTCGGATGCAGGTGACATTTTGGTTATTGACAAAGGCAGACTATTGGGGAAAACCGACTGTTCTCTGGCCCTTATCAAGAGCTCTGGGGAGAATCCGCTTTCCTGTGTCACTGGCAACCAAGCTTGTTGTGCCCCTGGCTCAGAGCCATGCTCAAGTTAGCATCATTCATAAAGCCAAATCTGCCCATTCAAGAATGAAGCCATAAATGTGCAGGCATAGGTCTCTCCGTAGATACGTGCACTAGACGGGCTTTCTCTAGAAACGAAGGGTGCCAGCAAGCTCCTGAGACAGACATAAACATCAATTATAAAACCCTAGAAAATCCCCCCTGAGGCCACCCAAGGAATGGCATGTGCTTCTGGCCTGTGACTTCCCAAATCCTACCCCTAGAACGACGAGGACCCTGCCTGATGGAAACATTTCCATTCCTGCAGAGGCTGCTTCCTGCAGAGTGATGCGTAGGTCACGTGTACCTGCCTTCGAAGGAGCCTCCTGCCAATCCAGGATCGCTTACCTTCTCTTGCAGCCGCTCCAACATGGCGGCCAGGTGAGCCTCCCGGTTCTCCTTGTTGGATTCCATTTTCTGGGCCAGCTTCTCTTTTGCCATCTTGATGAAGTTGTTGTTTTCCTCAATGGCTTTCTGGATCACCTCTCGCTCGTGCTCCCGTTTCTCCGCTAGGTGCTTCAGGAGCTCGGCTTCCTGGTACTAGGGGAGCCCAAGAAAGAGAAAGACACATTAGGGTGGATTTCTCCCATTGCGGCTGAACAGTGCCACACCCGGATGAGATCCATCTCTGAACCTGGCCCTCTGGCCCAGTAGCAGGAAGCAATGCCTCAGGGCCACCTACAAAGCTTTCCATCATCTTGGACTTTCTTAGCCCTTTTTTCTTTCTTTCCTTCCTTCTTTCTTTCTTTCTTTCTTTTTTTAAGATTTATTTATTTATTATGTATACAGTGTTCTGTCTGTATGTATGGTTGCTGGCCAGAAGAGGGCACTAGATCTCATTACAGATGGCTGTGAGCCACCATGTGGGTGCTGGGAATTGAACTCAGGACCTCTGGAAGAGCAGTCAGTGCTCTTAACCTCTGAGCCATCTCTCCAGCCCCTCTTAGCCCTTTTTCTAAATAGTTTCTGAATTTTTTCTCTCGTTTTCGTTATTCGTTCTTTCACTCATTCATTCATAAATACTAAGTAATCTTATATTAACCTCAAGTCATTCACAGCTCCGGACACTCGGGAAGGAAGCAAATAGCCGAGTAGACATCAACATGCTTCTTAATAAATAACTGAAACCCTGTCCTGCCTGTGATAAATGTCTTGGAGGTAAAGGGAGAGGGCCACAGAACTCAATGGATACCTTTTTTTCTTGAAAGATGAAAAAATGCTCATGATAGAATGGCATCTGAGTTGAGCCATGAGAATCAATGAGAAACAAAGGAACTGAATACAAGGTCAGCTGTGAGGGAAATGTGACACCCAAGCCACTAAGCAAATTGCAAGCTCACCCGGTGCACACTCATGGCACACTCATGTCTCCTTCGGGGTAGTGTCTCCGCCTACGCCCAGCCTTCGGGGTAGTGTCTCCGCCTACGCCCAGCCTTCGGGGTAGTGTCTCCGCCTACGCCCAGCCTTCGGGGTAGTGTCTCCGCCTACGCCCAGCACTCGGGGTAGTGTCTCCGCCTACGCCCAGCCTTCGGGGTAGTGTCTCCGCCTACGCCCAGCACTCGGGGTGTGCTGTCTAAACATTCTCAGGTTCACTGTCCGTCCTGACCCCCCTCAGAGACACCGCCTCGCTCCTCCTCCCTGCTCACACTGGGATGAAAGGAAGCAAGATAGAAAAGATGAGGCTGCGCTAACCTTCCTTCGCTCCTCTGCTGCTTCTAGCTTCTTCTGAATCTCTTCTAGCGACGGGTCTCGCCGTCGGGGGAGGGAGGCGTTAAATTCCGGCACCCCGTCGAAGGACGGCGGCTTCAGGATGACTTCAAAGGACTGGCCCGAGGTGCACTTGTTCAGCTCAATGACTTCCATGTCAGAGATGACACACCAGTTCAGGTCCACGGTATCTGCTGTAGAGGGCAGAATTGGGGCTGCCTACCTGCTGAGGAGCAACTGGGGACCCGACGCGCATGCACACATGCACACAGACACAGGGAAACTGGGGTCCCAAGGCACAGAGTAAGGTTTGGGGCTCCTTGGGCAAGGATCCCAGGAGATGCAGGAAGGCCAGCCGTTGCTGTTCCTCACGGTGACAGACATCGGTTCATTTCACCCACCGCCCACCCCCAGTGCCTCCTTGCCCTGTCCCTCTGCCGGCCTGTGGACCTCTCCCCTGGCTCCCGCCTACCCTGTTCTCTTCTTTCTCTCCAGTCAGCACTGCCTTTCCGCTGGCTTTGACCTTTCCTCCTACACTGTCTCCCACACCAGCCTAAACGGAAAAAACAGTCTCAGGTCACCCCAACACCCACGCCTCTCATGGACGGACCAAACCCAACCGCTTCCTTGCAACCAGAAACGAAGAGATGACCTGACTGTTCCCTAACCACTCCTTGTGAGAGCGTGGCCAGCCAGTACTCTGTCACAGGGTTTGGGGACTCTGACAGCACTACTGTCACCAGGCAGGAATCACTCTTTTCCACCTCGGGGCTGTTGGGAACATCTCTGTCTGTCCCTGGAAGTCCTGTTGAGCACACCAAGTTTTCTTTTCTGTTCTGTGTCGTTATGCTTGTCCTTCCATCCTTGTGGCACCAATTTATTCGAGGAGTGTGCAAAAGGGACCATAAGAGCAAGTGCTTCCAGAGGGCCCAATCCAGACCCCTGGCTGCTACCTGGCACCCCAGGCCACATCCCCTGGCCTTGGACCCCCTCAGGCTCTGGGAAAGAAGACACACTATGACCAGGACAGTTTTACAAGATGGGAGGGTCAATGGGGGGGCACCCACAAACACAGGACACAGAAGCCTCCCCCCTTCTCTTTCCCAGCTGAACCCCCGCTCACCTTCATATTTGTAGGATGATTTATTCAGGGAATCAGACAGGAAGCAGGAGCAGAACAGAGACACCAGCGGGAGCTCCTTCATCTTCTCCTTGTAGGCTATGAGAGAGAGAACCAGTGAAGATGAGCCCCCAGAAACCAGCGCTTCTGGCTCCGAAGTACCCAAGTCTGGGCCTCCTCGGGCTTGAAATTTGGCCTTCCAATTCACACAGCTGGCCCCATTCTTCCGTCAACACCAAATGCAAAGTACCCTCTAGAAAGGTGGGGGTGCCGGCGTCCCCACCCTGGTCCCCATCGCCATCTCCCACGTCCACCCAGGAACAGATCAGATCCTTGACTCTTCATTCTGCTGAAAGTATTTGACATGGCTGCCTAAAGGGCCAAGCAGTTAATACAGGGGACTTCCTTGCTACTCTCCTTGGGGTCCAGGCCCTCTCTAGAAGAAGTCAGATTGGCAGTCTCCTTACAACTTCCCAGCACAGGAATCAAACCAGGGGAGTGGCTGTCCACAGAGAAAACTGTGCCCCTGACAGCAGGAGTCTCTCTGGAGGCCACAGGTCATCATGGTAGCCCCTGCCAGCCCTTCCCCACTGAACCCTGTTTTCTGCACAACATGCAAGACTCCCCGAGAACCAACCCCACCACATGCTGGTGCTCCTTTTCTCTTAAAAACCTGAAAGCATAATTTCAACACTATGATAAAGATATTATTTTAACTTTTTAGATAATAAGCGAATGAGCAAATGAGGAAGAAAAATTTAGCTGGGATCCCACTCGACACCCAGAAGTGACTTTGCCTCTGCCTCGCCACCCTCTTTTCCTATGCATCTGTAGGAGCACATGCCCAGAGAAAGAGGCTGGGGAGCTGGCAAAATGCTTGCCTTGTGAGTCCAAGCTTTGATTTCCAACACTCACATGGAAAAGCCACTGGGAGGCAGGAACAAGAAGACCCTTGGCACTCGCTGGCCAGTCAGTTTATCCGTATCAACAAGCCTCAGGCCAGTGGAAGAGCCTTTCTAAACACAGCAAGATGGATGGAACCAGAGAAATGACACCTGACCTTATTCTCTGGCCTCTACACGCCTGTGGACATGCATATATGCCATGTGCAAAAGTGTCACACATATTCATGCATCTCAGCACACAGGAACACACACACGGAGAAAGAAAGAGACAGAAATGGCTTGTGCTATAGTGTCCGTCACCAAGTGATGCATGTACCTACCTGCGAGGGTCATGGTGGCTGGAATCTGGTGATTGGATTGACTGAAAGTCACAGCAAATGTCTATTGCCAGCTCAGAACACGATCCCAACCCTAAGAAAGAGAGAGTAGTTCACACTGACAGGCTCTTACCATAAAGACGGCCTTTTTAGCACCAAGGGAATCTTGGGGATATTGCATCTGCTATGACCTCCAGGCCTCCCCTCTCCAGCTTTCACTCCCCCCCTGCCTCCTCCACATCTGCCCAGGCAGATTCAGTTCACATACCAAGGATCCCTTCACAACTGACTCGAGGCGTCAGAGCATGTAAACATGGGTTGCCCCAACTTCAACTCTCAGGGGTATTTATCTGTCTCCCTGTGTAGTGTGATTGCCTGGGAATACCTGGGAGATGTGAGGGAACAGGGCTCCACTGAGGACCAGTGTTGAGTGCTTGGCATGGAGACTGCTTGGTGTTTGACCAACTTTGATGGTTACTGTGCCAGGGCAGAGTGATGTGAGCCAAGAGACTAATACTTTATCCCTTCATCCTCAGGAGACACAGGGACTTGAAATCTCTTTCTTTAGGTAGTGAGTATATCCGCCTTCTGGGGACCAAGGCCCACATAGACAGAAGGTCCTGGGGGAGTAGTGGGTCCAGTTCCAGCCTCAAAACTAGACTGCTGCAGAGTTGACGACAAGTGCCATCTTACCCTGTCACTTTGCACACCTAAACCTTGTGCTCACAGTCTTTATTTCGCACAGACTTGCACTTGTGAAATGGGACAAATTCTGCCCAGCACCCAACACCCAGAACCCAGCACCTGGCACCGAGCGACCAGGAAACACCCTTCTTCTGCCTGCTGGATCAGGGTGGCTCTCCCCAGCCCTGTTTGTCAAGACTGAGAGAGAGTAATCGAGCACAGATTTGAAGCAAAACCCAGCTGCCCTTAGAGGACTCTGTTCTCCATTTGCCAGCCAAAGACCCTGCCAAAGCTTTCTTCTGTCAACACAATAGGCCTATTCTCCATGGTGTCAGGCTGGTCCTGATTGTACCAGTGAGTCCCTGAATATGGAGCCAGGCCTGGTGCCTGGGGACAAAGTCCTTGGTCGTGAGCCCAGCATTCATTCAGGTCCAGAGCGATTGAAGAGGAGATTGGCTAGATGAGGAACATTTGTCATGGGAGGCAGAGACCTAGGACCTTGATCAACAGGTCAGAAGGGGAGGTGGGAATAGGGAGAAGAGGAAGAAAACACACATCTAAGAAAGAAAAGCGATGGGCATGTGCAATCAGGTGGAGGCATGTCCTTGGTTTGAGCTGAAGTGACAAGACCCTAGACACATAAAACACTTTAAAATTTTCTCCCAGTTGATCCTCACATGAGCCTAAGCTATACCAACCAGGCGGACGCCATCACCTTTGGATTCAAAGGAAGAACCTGCAGCTCAGAGACATTAAGACACCTGCCCAGCATCACAGAGCTCTAAAGGGATCCGCCTGGGTCCAGACCCAGAGCTTCTGAACGATAAGCTCTTCCCTGGTGACAAATGGAAGAGCAAGACACCTGCTACTCGTCCCTCGTGGTCCCAAGGACACAGAAAAGGCCGGTCTAGCCTAGAGGTGGGAGGGAATTTATTTTTTCCCAGTATGTACACAAGTGCTTTCCATATGGGAAAACCTGGGCGATGAGTCACTGGAACACAAAGAATGTTGGAGAACCAGCGAAAGGCCAGGGCAGGGATCAGGGGAGGTGACAGAGTGACAAGAAACTTGTCACCGATCTCAGCCCTGGGAGGTTCGAGCCTGCACAGTTAAAACTCACAGACGCAGAGCAGTTGCTTCATGAAGCACTCACTGCAAGTGTCACGGTTGCCTTTTGGAAGGGTAGAAATTCTCATAAATGAAGGGGTCAAGGCTCAGAGAAATGAGGTGGCCTCTCCAAGCCCGTTCAGTGCCCTGAGTTGAATAAGGAGTGTGCACATCCCCTAACATTGTGAAAATGCTTTCCTGCGAAGAAAAAAATCATTGCAGATGTGACTGATAACATCAAGATGAGAGAAAGCATCCTTGATGACCCAAGTGAGCCTATGTGTGAGGACAGAAGCAGAGACCAGATGATGCAGCCACAAGTCAACGAATGTCTAAGGACACCAAGCTGGAAAATGCAAGTAAGGATTCTCCCTAGAGTCTTCTGACAAGGTGGTTTTGAACTTGTAAACTCCTGCTATGTGGTGGGGGATATGTCAGTTCCAATAGTACATGGCAAACCCATGGTTCTTCTACTGAATCTCAACAGCTAGTTTTTACACATAGCCATTTCTATTGTAGTCAAGACTCAAGAGGCAGTCTGAGAAAGGCTACAGAAGATGCCATAGGCAGCGCTTTCTGGACAGAACAGCAATGCAAAGCGACTTTAAGCCCCTGGGTGTGGCAGTCACAGTAGGGAGCCTGGCTTTCCCCATTATTAGCTTGTGGTATCCATACTTGGTGGCACTAGTCAAACCCACCTCTCCCAGCCCTCTGCCTGTGGTATGGCTCCTGCTCTGTAGCTGTGGTCATGCCGTCATGTCATAACAACACACAGCCTAGAGGTGGGGACCACTGGGTGTGCCCACAGCTGCCAGGAAGAGAAGTAGGGAGTGCTACACCACAGGTCAGAGCACAGAATGCTAGAACTCATGGAGGCGGGAGGAAGAGGCAAGGGTGGCCAGCAGAGGGGCGAGGCAGAGCTCACCTATCAGGAAGAGACGTTACCCATGACATCAGGCATGTGAGCATCAGAAGGCAGCCCCCACGTTAAGCACACCCCAGGCCCATCCCAAACCTCTTCCCACACTTGCTGTTAAGGCAGAGGCCAATCCTAGCCCTTCAACAGCCCCTAAGGGAGACAGTAAAAAATTGACTGCAAACCAGGCTCTCAGGCCAATGGTGACAGTCACTCACCAGTTGCCGCACAAATAACAAGGGCTCATGATGGTGATTTCTGGGCTCCTGTACAGAGCACGGCACAAACTGGTTGGTCAAAAGTAAAAGTCTCCTGACCACCCAGCACCCATGCTGCCGGGACTGGGTTGGGGTGGCATGTGGTCAGAGGACTGTCAAAATCAAGGAGACTGCTTAGCCCAGGTTGGAGGAGGCTATTATGCAACGTGGGTTCCTTGTACCTCAAACCACGAAGGGGCTTTGGAACTTGATTGTACTGAAGTATGGATCATGCATATTCGGGAACAGAGGGGACCCACTGGGCTGCATGCAGACTGCCTTGAGTGTCGGAATAAGGACAGGATGATGGCAGACAGACACCTCCACACCAGTGAAGGAGTTTATATCTATTCGTTTTTCAAGCCATTGTCATCTGTTCGACGAGAACCAAGACAGAAGGGGATGCTGAAGGTGACAATAGTAATAATGGCTACCAGTCTTGACTGCCTGCTTTGTTCCAGAGGAGCTGCAGATGTATCTCAACTTAACCTAAGATCCTGAAGACGTCAAAGTTCAGCAATGTAGAGTAGATTGCACCGAGTCTTATAGGTCATAAGGCGCTGAGCTGGGACCCATTTCTATCCTGAGGGCAGCTCTGCAGACTCCAGTGTGGGCTGTTGAGTCTGTGTGGGTTTCATGAGAAATCTGTTTATGTCTTTAGAATCTAACATTATGGCTAAGAGGTGGGTCTGGTCATATCAACTTAGGGACAAGACTAGGAGGGGTGACTGGAAGCCATGGCCAAGGTCAGAGTATTGGGGACCTGCCTAGACTGAGTCACACTCTGGAGTCACACCCAACGCTGCTGCCCCAATTACAAACTGATCCTCACACAGTGCCAGTATCTAAGCAACTGTGTATGGAAACGCAAGTAATCTCACTTTTCTGCTGTTGGATTAAAACACTAGCATCTTTAATAGAGGAAATCTGTGAGCACCCAAGCAGCCAGGCAACCAAGAACACAATCAGACACAGCAAATGAATCAAATTAAGTGGGTGTGGTTGATGGTGAAGAGGCAGAGCCAAGGCTGAGGAGAGGAACCTTCTAGCTGGAAGAGAGAAGAAAAGATAGCTAAACTGGATAGATGAAGTCCTTCTCATGCTATCGGAAACCAGGTAGACAGGCAAGGCTGAGAGCTCCCCATGAGGGGCGTCTGAGACCTCCCAGCAACAGCTAGATGAGAACGGTTTGGTGAGAAAAAGCTAGGTCGGCCCAAGATCCTGTGTTGCACTTGACTACCCAGACTGATTCTGCTCGAGATGTCCATCCTGGATTCACTGGGGACAAGGGATCTTGAGGTTACACAGTGAGCTCTTGGTAGACGAAGAACCAGAAAGTAAGGTCCTGGGTTCCAGTGTGTGCACATTTCCCCCTTTGTCCTGGGCCCCTTTTGCCTTCTTGAATGGAACAACAGCCCACACTGGACAGAGCTGCCCTCAGTATAGAAATGGGTTCCTAGAAGGGATACCGTTGTGGGATATTGTCGAAGCACCAAGACTCTAGGCTTTCTGGGATCAGCTAGTGACCTGGAACCACAGCAGTGGGCTGAGTGCTCCAGAGAGATGTGGCCGCTTACCCTGCATATGTCCATCCCTGGAGTGTCTCGAACTGCCCACCCAGGGGGCAGAGTGGGTAAGTACTTTGTTGCTGTGATAAATCCCACGTGATAAATCCACGTGGGTTTAGGAACCCACGTGGGCTGTGTCTGAGGGATCAGCAGTTAATGCGTGTCCAAGTGGTTTAAATAGAGCTGTCTCTGGCAAGGGTTCTAGAAGACAAATATAGGAATTCTGGCGCTGATTCAAGATGGGAACTTCGTGGGCGTGGGTGTAATGAATTCTAGCCTTGCTCCTCTAACCACAAGAGTGCAGAAGAGGACGTGCACTATCCCACGTCCTGATGCCGTGTGCTGCCCTAGAGGCTTCATGTATCTCCACTTTGGGCTGAAATCATGCTCGCACAGAGGAACTTTGTGGTTCCTTGTTTACTTCCTGCTGTCCCAGGGCTCTGGTTGTCATTGTGTGCTTTATTTGTATTTAAAACTCAAAAGGAGATCATTTATTTTTTCACGAATGTGGTTTTCATTCTTTCCACACTATTTATTGAATTTTGAACGCTGTGCCAAGCTC